TCGAAATAGGTTGTTATTTCTGTTTTCCTTAGTAATTTAGGAATGAATTACGGAAATTATTTAGAAATGAAAGTAAGCATAGTCAATTCAGGAAAGTTTATTTCAGCAAACAAGAATCAATGATAATTAGTTAAGTGCAAGTTTAATTAAATATTGATGTTTTCCAGTTTTATATTGATAATCTGATTAAAATAAATAGGTTATTATGGACCATCAAATAGATGAGTTTTTGATATTTAGTCATATTTGTCTAGCTGTTATCATATTAAGAGGGGAATAATCATGGTAGTGATAATAGTGATAATTTCTATAATTTCAACAAGTTAGCTTCATTCTTTGCTAAAAACTAAAGCAAATAGCGAGCTAAATAATAGAAATGGAAAATAAAAAAAAAATTTCTTATGAGATTGATGAATGCCTTATTTATTGAGTCTAGAAACAAATTGAAATTTATTTTAATAAATAGTAGAAATGAAGATGGGATATTAATAAAGCTGAGACTATTGTTTCATTTGTTGTTATAATAATTACTGAGAGTATAGTTACGGTAACTTAGGTGACATACGTAGCATTGGTGACAGTAGTGAGAACAATGATGATAAAGTGAGTGATAAGGGATAATGTTACTGTGATTGATATTTATGTGATTATTTATACTTTCAAATGTTTATTTGTCCTTATCTCTACCAGTTGCATCATAATGATTTGCATTTCTGTAATCAAAATAATTACTAACAAATAGTTATACAATGGAACTAAATATAGATAGCATTTTATCAGACTGTTCAAATTTGTTTTGCTTGTCTAATTGATGCATTAAATTTCAATTTCTGGTAGTAGAGCAAATCCAGCCGGCTATCTTTTATTACGACAATTTTTTAAATGTTAGAAATAAACGAATGGTATGGTCAACAAAGTAAACGAACAGCTAAACATATTGATAAATTGTACAAACAGAATAAAAATTTTTCTATTAGAATTTTGAAAAGACAAGGTAAAAAGTAGAACGACGACGAGTCATAGCTGATACATTTCTCGGGAAATTTGTTAAAATGTTTGCATTTGATATGATTCGTATAATAAAAGAAGCCATTTGTTAAAAAGAAAACATGCTAAGAAACGTTTTTTCTGTTTAAATCAAAATTTAAAACCTTTTTATCATATGAATATCAATGAAACATTAAACAGTTTCCAAAATAAGCTATAATATGTGATCAGAGAGAATAAAGGAATTTTAAATATTATTTAATTAAATTTCTCTTATATCTTTATGTTTCTCAATATTTTCTGTAATAAACTTCCAAAACATGTACTTAAAATATCTGATGCATCATCGTAATTATAATATAATAATGCTATTAGTGTGCTGATAACGATAACAATAGTGATGGAATCATTAAGGGCAACAAAAAAATATTTTTTTTGAAATGCACATTTTCTTTAGCTCACTAAGTCATTCCTCTTCCGTTTCTCATAAGTGTTCTCTTTCACAGTCATTAATTACGGAGCAATTAAAAGCCCGCTGAAGTATTTTTTATTAGAATGATTTAATGATATTGAGGAAGCAGAATGAAAGTGATAACAAAAGAAGATGAATTCTTACATAAATCGCTTGAAGAAATGTGTAAAAATCTTTCAAAATTATAAATTTTAAATCCGTCAAAACTCATTTTTCTTTTGGTTTTCATTATTACCTTCTCAATCCTTTCATTTATAAACTTTTATTTATTTATTTTTTCCTTTTTTAAGGTATTTTGCACTTGTTAATTACAAAACTTTAGTTTTACGATTCACGATTAAAAATAGGAAGAGAAATATCTTATAAGAAATATTTGTCATCGTTAATGATAGTTTAATAGTATAAGTAAGTTAACTCCCGAACTATGACGTTTATTAAGGTCAGTTGGTTCTAGTTGTTTTAAATTTATATTAACTGTTTTAAATTAATTAAATTAATCTTAAATTAATTGTATTGTAACTTTTCAAACATAAAAAAGACATGAAGAAATAGTTACATTACTATCTCCTCACATAATTATTATCTTTGTTTTCCACTTTTATTAGTATTTTTTAAAAAATGAGAAACTTCGACTTTGACTAATGTTTTCTTTATAGCTTTGAAGAAGCTATCCGGTTATATAAATTGATACTTCGGGTGAAAGATCGGGATGAATTCCCGATAATACTTGTTGGCAATAAAGCTGATCTCGACAGTGATAGGCTTGTAAGTATTCCTTCTTTTATCTCTTTACTCAAAATAACTTCAAATATAACTAATGTTTATTTTAACAATCAAATGTTTTATTCATCGGTGATCGCTGATAGTTTATCAAATGCTTGATGCTTGTGTGAATGAAGGACGTTAACAATTAGTGAAGCTATAAATTTGTCCCATTTTCTATGTCGTAAAATTAAATTATTGGGATGGAAAAGGGAACGATAAAGACTCCCCTGAGGGTGATACTTTAATCTGATACATGAAATTTAAGATTACAGAGAACAATGATTGATAAAATTTGAGTGTTGAAAATTGTGGCTGGTAATATGTGTCAGCAATTTACGATGATTTCGTGTCTTTATCTATCTCCTTTATTCACGCCGTTCATTTTTCACATTCCTCTTGATAACTGATATACTATCAATTCGTGATGAAGTAATAGAGCGATATGAAAAGGGAAACATCAGATTATCTTTGTTATTCTTTCATTAATTCTTTATGTATAATTATTACTTATGGAAATTGAGAGTCAGTCAAATTATCATTTGAAATCATAACTCTTTTATGAATATCTCAAATTTAATAATATTTTTATAATTTTTTTTAATTTATAATTTTTTTTTCATAGTTTAACAAAGTTTTAAGATTTCACGACAAGAAGCAGAAGAATTGGCAAGGAGGTTACGAGTACCATATGTGGAATGTTCCGCGAAACATCGAATGAATGTCGATGAGTCGTTTCATAACTTAGTACGCTTGATACGGTTCGCTCATTCATATGAAAGAGTCATTTGACTAATTTCTTATCACTAATTAGCTATCAGTTTAATTGATGTAGTTGACGAATGTGACATGATGGAAATTTTAGAATGTAAAATATAAACCTGCTTAAGCATTTAAGTATCATTACTTAATCAGTCGTTTGAGCAGATCTATTGCTTCTAATTATATTCCCAACAACTTTCTCTACAGAAGCTTTCAACAACAAGAACGACAATCATCGGATGGAGTTGACTTAATCCCATCAAAATCAAACTCAAAAAGAAAACGTTACTGTCGTATACAGTAATCTCACCATACCGTATCGCGTTCCTACATCTACTCCCTTTTCCTCAGGAAATTTCAATTCTCTCATCAACTGTGATGTCATTTTCAGTGTTTTTTCTCCTTTTTTATTCATATTACTTCTTATTGTGCATATAACTGATCAATTTTTTACTTGTATTGTACGTTGACATATGATTGTCATGCTTTGTTTAACATATGATTGTCATGCTTTGTTTTCTTATATATATATTTTTTTAGTTCCGGTTTTCTCATGAATTTCTTTTTGGATTTAATAGCTTCATCAGAGACAATAAAGCATCGAAGCTTACATTACCTTAAAGGAAATCAGAATTCTTTCTGATAGTGTCAACTCTACTCCTTGTCAATTAGTTGTACCACAGACAAATGTAAATGATTTTCTAAAAGGATAAAAGGTTCTAAACTTGTAGCATTATAATATCAAATTCATTTCTTGCTATATTATTTGGTAGTATTCTATGAAATGATTTATTGTGTTGGATAAGAATTTAACATTTAATTTAAAAGTTTTGAAAAGAGTAAAGTTTAAAGAGCTGAAGGAATCGACTTAACGACTAATCATTGGCAATAGCTGAAACTTTTGACTGCATATCTGACAATATTACTGTTGTTTTGTGGTTGATGATATGGAATTACTGTCTCTTTTATTACATAAAAAAATTTGTTTAATGTGTTTAAAAAAGAATGAATCTATTTCAGACAAAAGAATTTGGATGTGACTAATGTTCATATCAATAAAAGTTACCAATTCTGCTAAAATTATTTTCAGGTTCTGCGAGTTTGGCACAGGATGCAATGTGAAACATAATTTGTGTTATATAATTAGAATTTGGGTAAGGGATATTGTTAGAGTGGAATTCAGTATGTCGGCAAACAGATATTTTGAATCATGTTCAGTAATATAAAAAAAAAAATAAATTCCACATTTAGCTAATGAGAAAAAATAAATTGAAATAATTTGGACAAATATTTAACGAAACTGAAAAATCTGAATCAAATGAAAAAATCCAGAAAAAATGCCGAAGCTGTATTACAAAACAAAGTGAAATTGGCATGAGAGAAGTGAGGTTTATTAATATTTCTCGTATCAAAAAGCACTGAAATTGCAGAATCATAAGTTTTATTAATAAATTAACACATAAGTTAATTAAGTGATAAGAACCTGAATTTAGGTTTCAATGGCAAAGCCAACAACAATATTATAAGAAAAAATATCGAGCAGTGTTCATTCTTAAATTATTACGGCAGAAATATAATCACAAAATGCATGGCACAACGATTGAGAGTCGCGTGGCGAAAAAATGAATGTAAGATTGATGAGAGTTAACAAATAAGTGATGAATGCAATTCTTAATTATGAAATTTCAGCAGTTTTCAATAATGAATGGCTTTCATTAAAAACATACCAAATTATGTTTAGAAAATAAAATTTTTCATTTAGTAGTAGTATTTCATTATATTTAAAAGCCGAAAAAAGGATTATATGGAATAAAGATGATGAAAATTAGTGAAATAAATGAATATGTCAGTTTTCAGTTATCTACAATTTATGAATGAAATGTTTATGAATTATTGGTTTCAGAGTTTTCATCAACATGCAATAATGATGATTATTAATTATTACGACAAAATTAAATAGCACAAAATATTAAATTGAGCAGATTTGTATATAGTAATTTTGTACGTATGAGAGAGATCATGCAAATATTTTAGCTGGAGTTCCACGTGCAACTTGAATAACGTGATCGGCAACATTACCTCGTAATGTCCAGGCCAGTGATCGCAATGAAATTCCACGTTCACAAATCGTTCGTGGCACATTAACTGGTACCACGGTTTTTCGCGTATTCACCTGGAACAACTCATGATTGCAAAGATAAAAGAGTTAAAAATGAAAGTTAGCATTTATGAAATACGGAAATTATTGCATCTTTTCTACACATTTTAGGATTTATTTAATGAGTGACACCATTAGGAGACATCGTTCGAAATATTTTACATTTCAGGAATGTTCCAAAAAATATCCTGAAAACTCTGCAATGAAATGAAAGTTGAAAGCTCAAAAGACCTCAATCATATGTATGATAATTTTATCCATCATTGTTGAATGTCCTCTCTTCCAATTCCCTGGATCATTCCCAAACACAGGCACGTATAAAAATCTAAAAGTACTTCTTATCAATATTAAATGTTGGTTTCAGAAGATTAGCTAGAATTCTATGGAATAAATTACATTTAGAGAGTTTTGCTTTCTTTTTTCTTTTTCTTTTTTTTTTTTTTTTTGAATATCTCGATATCAATCAAAGAAGGGAAATCTTGAGTTTTCAAGTAATTATTCAATATAACTGGAAATTTTATAAACAATATTGTGAATGTTACTAACAGTTCTTTGATTCATTCTCTTCGAAGTAATTAGGATTTGATCATTAATTATTTCTAATTGATCTGATATCACCTTAATGTCTAATCCAGGTGCATTACATAGTTGTTTATTATCTTCGTATGAGACAAATCATTACTTATCAGTAGCTAATATGGCAGTGTACATGCCACAATTTCCTCTTCTGTCCTTATCCAAATATGCTGGCAGATCAATTAACATCACTTCATCACGGAATTTTTTAAATAATTCAGCGTCCAAATAAGCCCTCATATCTTTATCCAACGTTGGTATTACCAATATCTAAAATATATCTAATATCTAAAATAGTTTATTATAATACTAAAATAAAAAAAAAATCCCAATGATGCCTATTTATAAACTTAATAATAAAGAATATTAATAGCTACTGTGATGCATAAATTACAATTAAGAACAGCAACTTAACAAATTTCATTCCTGTAATGTACAACGAAAACTCTCGAAACCATCTAACATATTTCATATTTCGTTGAGATTAATTCTGATTTCTGCGACATTTTTTTCATTAACCCTTGATTTCAAGATCAAATTTTACTTCGAACTTTAAAATTACTGAAATGAAAGAGTTGTACTGTCTAAAAAAAGTTTTGACCTGATCATCAATGAAAGACATAACGTCATCCAGTCGTAACTGTGTCGTATTCATTGGATTATCCACAATGGTCACCTATACTGATAATAGATTTGCTTTTATCAAATCAAGTCAAAGTAATGAATAGGAAGGAATATTGAAATGAAGAAAGTGTTACAAATATCATAACAGGTATCAATAATTACAAAGAAATTTAGAAAAAGAAATGGAAGAAAAGAAATTCAATTTTACACTCCGTCTATTCAATAAATTTCGTAAAAATTATGAGAGAGAAATATCTTTAAAATGACTTTTGATATTTGCATTTCAATAGTTGAAGAAATAAATGGCTGAAATTATATATGTGTATATATCCTGAAATTGATGAATGCCGTGAAATGCACGTGACGATATGATGCCGAACAGGAATTTCAAACTTAACAATATCAAATCAAAATTCTCGTAAGATAATTTAATTAAAAGACAAATACCTTCCTGAAAGCGTTGAAGAGCTTAATCATAATAGCCCATTCTGGTACTTTTCCTTGATTTTCATCCAGTACTCTCTATAAACGAGAAAATATTTCCGACAAATGCATATGTGTTAGTAATTCTGAACCATGTTCAAGTGACATTTACAATGTTTGATTACAGCAGGAAGCGATCAAAATGTTTTAAGTATTTTCAGGAGTTGTTTAAAATCTCAAAGAAAAATAAATTTATTCACTGGTCATTTTCAGCTTCGAAAACCCCTGCAGTTTTCTAACTGAATTATAAATTCTGCATTAAACCTCATGGATAAATGAAAGTTTACGTAACAACAAAATTACTGACACAGATATTGCAAATCTTTTCATTACAAAGCAGTAGTTTCAAAATTCATTACAGACCTTATCAATGATAGCTCTGTTGATACCGTTATCGACAACGTGCTGTGCGGAAAGTATCAGTTCTAATTCTTTCTTATCAACGCGTATTTTATAATCCTCAATGAATCGCTTAATACTTTCATCGATTTGTCTTGCGGCAATCGTTGCAAAATTAGGAGGCCTCGAATTGATTTCGTTTTACAAATAATTCCTATCACTTATTTCAAAGTATAGATTATAAATGCTCTTTAATCTTTACGCTTATTTGACGCATTTTTCAATTCAATAATTGTGAATTTCTCCGATTCGGATAGGAAAGCAATTATTTTAGAACCAGTCTTCGAATTAAATCCATCAAGAACGCTTCATTGGTAAATATATTATCATAACATTTTGTATTTTAGGCCAAAGAAGAACAAAATCATGTTCTGATTAACATACTGCAGAGTTAGGCTTTTAAAGTCATTGACCTCTACAAGTAATGTTTTCAAGCCCTACTTGAAGTTGTTAAGCATATTTTTTACATTAAGCATATCTTATAGGTGAATTTAATCTTTTTTAATGAAATTGAATTTTCCGAAAATGCTTCGAGAAAAAGGAAAGAGAAAGGGAAAAAAAATCGTATCAAAAACAAAAAGAAAAAAAAATTCACCTATAAGAAAATTTCACAAGTTGTCGTACACCAAATGGTGCAAAATCTCTGATGTTAATATCATAGACGGATGCCTGAATCAAAGCGTCTAATGGTAAACGTGATTTCACGGACGGACTTCTTCCATCCAAATATGGTAATGTATGCTTATCAGCAAGTATTACCACATTATCATGTTCTGCAAAAAAAGGTCAAAACTTAATTGAAATTTAACTAGAACTAAAAAAAAAACACACATACACACACTTAAAATTCTACAATTTCTGAATAACTTAAAATTGAATTTTTTTCCATAAAAGTGTTCGAAACTGGAAGGGGAAAAAAGTATTCCCGAACTTTATGCCAAAAATTCTAAATGATTTAAAAGTATCTTCTTGTTATCAAAGGTATCACTCGCCTTCGTCCTAAGTTCTAGATCCTACCAGTGGAAAAAAACATATCATCTTCCCAAGTAACATAACCAAATTGTTGTAACTATCATTTTTTAAATAAGAATTTCATTCAAATCCATTACCATGTATTGTTTTTGCAAATTCGATCTGGAATGCAATAATTGTCTCAAATAAATCGTGATAATTGTCATCCCTAAAAAGCAAGATATTTAATTCTATGTAATTATAAAAACTGCAAGTTGAAAGCAACAAATTTCTTCGCAGTAATTTGCAGTTGAACAATTTGAGCATTTAAATAAAACACAAATGTTTAAATTAGCAAGAAAAAAAACCTTCTCGCAAAAAAATTTTATTATAACACTTTCAGACTTTTAGACTCATCAAAATCCTTACTACTAATCAGCAATTTTTGAAAGTTTTTTTTTTGACACGATCTCTGGCCCCTTTTCAGTTGTTCGGGAAAAAAGAATTAACGATACAATTAGATATCACACAAAACTGGTTCCAGCAATGTACAGATAAATGATCAATCTCACATCCATCAATCTGTCACGGTCAACTGTCCAGAAATGGAACTACTGGAATGGAATGGCCACATCTTGACATAATCATTAAATATTATTGAAGTTAGAAAGAGTTAAAAGAATTGACTCGCTAGTCAGCGGTCCAGATTTAGTCCAAACATTTCATATCAACAACAAGATTGACATGACCTGCCATGTTGTTTGCAAGATAGCAACAAGGGTCGTAGGTTAGAAGAAATAGAAGTATTAGATGGCAATAAGATTCATAAAAGTAAGTCTATTTTTAAGACTAATTTGTTAATATATTTGATAAAACAACAAATAATTAACTTGTAGAAACTCTAAATTTTTGAGAATATTATTTAGAAATTTATATTGTATATGGAATTAATGAAAAAAAAACTCATAAAGGATAATAAGCAACAATAAAACATCTTAATTTAATTCTGTTTATTAACTTAATTTAACTAGGACGAGTTCTTAGCTTCAAATACCAACTTAGGTTAGGCCCAAGAATATTTGTTCAAGCCTGGATAAAGTCATGATAACAAACCATATGGATGGTGCTGATAACACAATAAGCGCTCGGTCAGGTTTATGGACGTTGAAGAATTCCGCTTGTATCCGTTGAGTAAGCAGTAAAAGTAAAGCACCTATAATGTATACCGTACAATGGTACCACTGTTGGTGACAAGTATAGTAGAACATTGCCAGATAAGAGGAAGGTAGTGGATGCGGTGTCGTTTATCAGTAACTGGATCGTTATCAGCACATTTTTATATCCCAACTGTGGGTAATGATTCCTTTTCCCATATTTCTACCATATTGCTGCTATTGCTGTTGCGTTTTGTTGTTAACGAGAGAAATGGGCGGATAATGAATTGGTGGTAAGGCGGAAGGTTCAAAATCCGCAAAAATGGAGTTCACGCATAAATTCATCGTCAATCGTCATTGTTGCTGTTGTTTCCTTGACTTTCGTGGATAATTAGGTTGTAATTACGGCTTTTTAGTTGCGCCTGAACGCACCAATTCGTCGTATTCCGGAAAACAGGATTTTATGCCCTCCGGGAAGTAAAAGCATGTTTTGCACACAGACACGGACATAGACGTGCATTACTACCGCTATCAGTACTGTTACTACTACTATTACTACTGCTACTACAAGTACTACTACTATTACTACAACTACAACTACTATTAACTACCCAGCACCAGTAGGTCAAACAACAACAGCAATTCAAAATATCCTAAAATTTTCTGGATTTTTGGAGCGAAAAAAAACCAGTTTTACAAGGAAAAGAAATCCTTTTCAAGTGTAAATGGGCTGTTTCGCCTTAATTTGTCACAAACGAAAAACAAAAAAAAAAAAAAAAAAAAGAAAAAAAACGAAAGCAAAAGAAAAAAAAAAACAATGTTGTGTCAATAGAAATGTATTGTTAACCTCTTAATTAAATGACCTGAAAAATAATTCTCACTATCTGCTAAATAAAAAAAGAAAAAAAAAAAAAACATAGCCAGTTCAAAATTTTAACCAATCAACCAATTCCTTTTTGATATTTCATATCCTGATTTTTGTTAGAAACAAAGAGGAATCAACATTTAATTATCAATCAACTAACTAAGCAATCATTTTATATTCGTAGTGTAATATTTTCGACACTCCCGCTCGCTAAAGCCAAATGAAAAATTTCCATAGTTATATTCATTGCGTTAATGTGACACAACTAAAATTCATCTGTTTTAAGTACCATCAAATTAGACTGCTTACCGTCTTTTTTTTGCTTACTCTTTTTTATTTTCAAGGCTAAATTAAATTCCGATAAAAATAGAGTTGGCTTATGGATTTTTTTTTCTTCAGTTTCATAATAATTTGTCGGACAGAGAGTTTATAGAAAGACTAATATCAAAATTACTAGAAGTCATCAATTTTTTAAATAACAATGTGATGAGAATAACTTAGCAATAAGCCTTAACCGATCATAACCGATCGACATCGACCGATCATACAGTATTGCGGCATTAAGACACTGAGTGCTGCAAAAAATATCGTAGAAGTTAGGTAATCAATCTCTGGAAGGAGCACAGTATGTGTTGATGGTGTAGTTAAAGATAAAAGATGAGCCAAGGAAAAGTAATCGCTTAGGTATTTTATTTATTGAAAGTCACCGGAAGTTAAGGAACCACTTTTTTTGTTGATATAATACTTTCATTTGTTTACTAATTATCTGTTGTTCATATGACACCTATTGGATAATATGCAATAATATTGAGAGAGAGAGAGTTTTTGGATAAAAAAAAACTCTCTCTTTTGGATAAAAGGAATATAGAATTGTGACAAATACTTTTACTTGTTTACATACTTTTACTGCCTATGTAAGAACATATTGGATTGTTTATGTACTGTTTGAAAAGGAGCAGAATACTTTGACCTTCAAAAGAGATAAGAACAAGTATATTCGTTCTTTTGCAAGAATTCCCGCTGAAGAAAAAAGTATAAGTTTGCACATTGTTGTTGTTGCCATTGTTATTCATAGGAAGTTAGTAAATGTGAAAATTTCCTGTATCTTTCAAGTAAAAAAAAAATCAATGAACGGTCATTTTCGGTTCACATGAAATAAACATTTTTTCTTCTCTGCAGATTTTATTGAATTGGAGATTTATTGCACTTAAAATACAAAATATAATGTCAAGAGTAGTAAAGGGGTCAAGAGAAGGTGAGGTCAAGTCCAAATAGGCCACCCATTTAAACAAGAAAAAATACTGAAGAAATTAATTTTCTTTGAAATAAAAATTTCGCTTTTTTTTAACAAAAAAATTTCTTTGCTAAACATATTTATTGCCAAATGCGATATAATAATCGATTCTTTCAAATGACAAGTCATTTTCAAAAATGCGAATGCCAAAAGATAATTAAAAATAGTCCACAAGAACGAATAAGCACAGAATTTATCCTTTTTAAAATTCTCAAAATTTATAAATATTTGCCATACAGAATGGTTAGCACCTTCTGTATCAAATGCTTCATTCTTACTAAATATATGCAAAAAAAACATTTGTTTCTCCATACTACTATGATATGCTTATCTTACTGCATTGCAATTCAAAGAAGGCTTAGAAAAGCGGAAATGTGCCATTGACAGCTAATGGAAAGAATCCAAAGAAAAGCAATGGCCTACTATATTCCATTATTTCCATTTCAAGATGCAATTTTTGTTGTCCTCTCATTCATGTAACATTGCTAAAAAAGAAAGAGAAATACATTGCTCGAATCTATAAACAGGTTTCTAATAAGCAAAAAGGATGCATTGCATACGACCCACCTTATTCGCTGAAATTTGAGTCGCTTGCACACCATGTCGTTGCATCCGGGTCAAATATCATGTCAACCAAATCAAAAAGTCATCCAGCACAGCACACGCTGTCATGCCCTCGATTACAAAACCTACGAAATTGCAAACATCCATTTTTTCGCTGCACTTCCCAGCATCACTGATCAAAAACGTTCCGGATATCAGCATGACCCGCGACCGTCCAAACAGGCTGTTCTCGCCTCTTCCCCTTTCCTGCTTCATTGTTTACATTTTAATTTCACTACCGCTATTGGGTACCAAAGGTCACTAAACGATAGCGATTTGGGGCATTTCCTGTTTTAAGCGATTTCAAATTCCGTGATTGGATGACTACATTGCTCCTTTAGTGATCTAATGTAAAAACAAGTACTGCTGATATCTTGCAACTAAAATATAAAATTTATTCCCTCCTTCCCACTAACCGCTTGATTTAACTTCTCTCCTACTCAGCCAAAAATGTTTAGATAGTTATGCTAAATAATTTTTATCCCGGTAGACGAGAAGTCTTGGATCCAACTAACCGTAGGATATAAATGTGAAAATTTGCTGTATGCACCATATATATATCAAACGCCTAATATCTCTTCTACGACATAGAAATCAATTAACCAGTTTGATTTTCTGTTTAGAATTTCAAACTTTGTTAAAAAAAAAAAAAAAAAAAAAAAGAGGGAAACACTGCAATCAGAAACTCGTTAAATAAAATCCACATGCCAATGTTGAGTATTATCAATGCAATGGGATGATTTATTTACATGTAAACATGATGTGATAGAACTGTTTCAATAAAGTAAAGAAATGAATCAGTGGGACATACACGAAACTGAGCTAAGAATCATGACTTCGATAGCAGCACATTTCCACTTAAAGAAACTAAAGTACTTTAATCAGAACAGCAATTAAGTTGAATAGTCTTCTAAAACATCAGTCAGATGTTCATTATGAACTTTCTGATTAGCTCGTCGTCGTGGAAGTTTCCGTTTTGGCGGTGCGAAAGTTGTTTTCTTTGGTCCTAAATCTTTCATCACATCAATACCATGTTTCTGAAGATATTCTTCGATCTTCTTCTCGTCCAAATGATCAACAGATGCGTTCCTCCATAAACTTTTGAATTCTGCAAAAATGGCTGACAAATTTAAATGAAATTCGTACACGCTACTCTTTCAACATTAAAAGAGGAAATAGAAAGCCACATGAACGATATTTTTCACGTTCAGACTTGCAAAAACTTCCTTTCCTCCGAAAATTCATTTGCTAAATGCTTCACTATTTCCGCAGGTAAAAATTTTTCTAATAAATAACATAAAATAATCACTGCAGTATAATGAAACTCAATATTATGTCACTTAGTATCATTAATTTATTAAAAAGTATTATTATCATAAGAACAACTACCAAAATTCCTTGCTGATAACGTGAATTGAAAACGAAAGATTTTTTCTTGATATGTGAACAGAAGATGTATCTTACCTTCATCAACTTCGTAATCGGTATCAGGATCATTATAAAAATAAACGTGATCTTTACGCTTGTTGATCATCGTCTGTACATCAATTACAACATTACTAAGTGCCTAAAAAGACTTTAGTAAAATCAATACATAATGCTGTCTCACAGAGACCGCTGCAGACTTCGATCTATCATTGCTGTTAAAACTCTCAACTGACCAAAGCTTCCAATATCAAATCAGATTAAAACTTTTGTATACACCTCTAGAAAAAAACATAAAAGTTAGAAAACCTTCCAAATTTATATAATAAACCTCAATATGCTTTTCAGCAGCTGGTATGCATTCGTTGAGATCCGACAGCAAAATGCCACCCCTTCCTTCTATGTGATATTTCTTTAACAGTGCTAATAAAGAATTCTTCCCTTTGATTTTGTAAGGCGGTTTGAAAAGATATTTCCCATTTTCATCAACAGTTAATCGAGGATTCGTCGGCAATGACTAAAACAGAAATTTCTATTCCATAATATTAGATCAAAAAAGTCAGTAGAAGAACTGAAATCATAAGTTGGAAATTTTTCCTATCAACATTTGGAAAAAATCGTAATTGTTCCCAAAAATTTTTAACGAAACTTTAAAATTCAAATCTTTCAAATTACGAACAAAAAGTGATGAATTCTCCAAAAGACCCAATTAAAGAAAAACCAAAGGAAAAATTTACAACGAACTTCTTGAAGCCACAGTTCTGATTTCTTTCCCAGATCATATATTTGTAATTCCTCCAGTATCTCCTTCAAACTTAGTGGCCACTGTTGCGACGATAAGTGTCGTTTCTATAAGTAGCAATGAGGTAATCAAAAATTGAATTCAATAAGAAAGATCTTTAATAAATAACGACGGAAGAGTTGAATTCACATTACCTTCATGTAATCAACAATTTTTGCCATTGTTCCAAAATTTACTGCATTTGATATCGAATGAGAAGGAGCGTTCTTAGAACTGAAGTCGGAAGAAGCTGGAAGAATGGAATTTCATACAAATAGAAATGTTGGCTCTCGAGAAACATTTCTTTTTGACGTAGTTTCTAGAAACACTGTTTCTGCATAAACGGTAAATAATAATTTGATATTGGTATCGATGCAAACTATGAGCTAATGAAAAATCACAATCCTTCATGTAGTACTGATATTTGTTAAAATCAAATAAAAATAATGTGATCTTACTGTACATAGAACAATGGGTAAAATATTTAACAGGAGATCGATCACTGCTTGGTAAGATGTAACATGTACAAATTACTAAGTAAGATATAAAAAGCTTACATTTTGTCGATAATTGCAAATCGTTGTACACTTTGCGTTTTTTCTTCCGACTTGCTTCTGCACTAAAATTTCTAAATATTAAAATTACACATATCAGTTCTGAACAAAAAGAAATAACAAGAAAAAAAAAAAACATACTCATACGTGGAATGAGACGTGGACGCCGTACTTTTCCGCGCCATTTCAATAGCTTGTGAAGCTCGAGCTTTGAATGCTGCTTGCTGTTTCAACAATGCCGGATCCATCACAATCCTGAAATCTCCCCACAACCTAATCTCACAATCACTTACACAACAACCATCTCTCCAAACTGCTTTCACTGCGTCTCAACAAATATCACGGCATATATTTGATCCACAGTGAAATAAGCCCGTCACAAACAGCGGTGAGCGTGTTTTACTTACCAATTAGAAAAAAAAGACAGGCGGTTATAAGTTTCGACATTATCTAATGATAGTAATTTGTAGTTCATATATTCCCTTTCTTTGCAGAAAATATGGCTAGCAAAAGTTTAATCTATCTAAAAAAGATGTTTCGTGATTTCGAAGGAACGAAGGATTTCGCGTATTGCGTACGGAATGTAAGTTCTCAACTTCTCCACATAATAAAAAATATCATTCAAAAAAACACCATCCAAACCCTTATTTATAACAATCAAAAAACAAATATTATTAAGGTGAAATTTATACAACCATATAATTTCCCGGCTGAATAAATGTCGCTTTGATAACGTAAAATACTTAATTTCAAAGCAGTGCTTAAATTTCAGCTTGATTGTCAAAGGCTTTCATCTCTATATACTATATATACATTTTTTCATCTTTGTAAAAATAAAAATGAGCTTTGAAAGTGAAACGATGTCATTTACAGTAATACAATTAAGCACTGATTGGTATATTAGTTAGGTAAAGATTTCGGCATAATGACTGTGACAATAAACGGAAAATAAATCATTCGAATAAGATGACTGACTCTTAGAAAATTAAAAAAACAACCTCTCTGTATCGCATAACGGTAACTTTGCATAGTCCCTCACTTTTTCCAATAACAAGTAAGATATCACTCCAATAACAAGTAAGCTCATGTGTATTTACTCTTTTACTTGCAGTGTGTGATAAACAAAGCTACTGAAGACGGACATGTCGAAATTGAGTTGAAGGTAGCTGATGAACATCTTAATCCATCCGGCACAATACACGGTGGTTTTACTGCAACATTGGTCAACATTGTTTCCACTGCGGCTGTTCTCGCTTCCGGTAGACCGACAGGTGGCCGTTCTGTGGATTTATCCATTTCGTAAGTTTTTAGATTCCTAATAAGAATGGTTCAGTTCAATTCGGTTTTCCCAAAAGTCTTAACAGAAAGGTCTTATTCCTTAGCAAAAACTAATTTTTTTTTGACTACCCGGCTACAGAAAAACTTCGTCTAAACATTTATTATACTTTGAAACAAAAACCAAGAAACACTATTTAAGAGCTAATTTAACTCAGTCAGGTATCAGAGTGTAGCAAAGCCTGGTGAAACGATCATTGCCGAGTCAACCGTCCGAAAGACAACGCGTAATTTAGCATTCATTAACACAAAAGTTTACCGGAAAATCGACAACATGAGTATAGCTACTGGTCAAGATACCAAAACATTTCTGCCAGTTGAATGAAACTTCTTTTTCTAAAAATTAATACTAATAAAAAGTGAACTCTCAACAACTATAACGTCCCACGGTGTTTCTCCTCAAACACGTCGATTTCACTGAGTTGAAGCCATCGAAAGAATTTGTGGAAAGTAAGAACAAGCTACAGCGAAATTTTAATTGGATTTAGAAATATGAACATCAGTAATCAGCAAATAAATTTTTGGGCATGTTTAAAGATTCCCACATAAAGTATAAAGAACATATCACTTCTTTGGAATGAGTTCGAGACCTGTCATATACTTCTTCTCAATACCATATTTGGTAAGAAGATTGCTGATAAAGAGAATCTGAAAATAATGGAAAAAGTAATGGAAAAAATGATTCAAAATATAATTGAAATCAAAGAAATCTGCAAAAACTACTTCACATTACAAGAAAATGATTCGACAATCAGTTTATTAAAATAAAAACTTTGGATAGTTCTAGCTCTTAACAAAGTTCATGATACTGAAATTCCTAAATACTAAGTGAGGAATAAAGGTTTACCTGGTTTCCCTGCACTAATATTTGAAAGCCCTCGCATTCTGCAGCATTATTCACAACGACAGCACTTGTTGCCACACCAGTTTGTATTTCACGACAAAGTGTTTTAGGGTCGATTCCATAAATGCTTAGATTATTCACTAACGTTACTTTCTTATTACCAGCGCGATTTTCAATCTAGAACTTACAACTGTTGAATTCCTCTGAAATTAAACTTTTCAAATGCATGACTTGAAGAAAAGAGCATGAATTTTAAGTGTTAATGTCAGAGCATCAAAGAAATTCTTTCACTTCGTTTCACATTTTCTTTTCACATATTTCAATGCATGCATATTTTGGGTCAATAACGAGTAGAAGT